AGGTTTTCATGGGGTCTTACCACCCAGCCATTGGTACTACAGTAACTATACACGCATCTTGATGGGGATTACAATTCAAATGGCTGGGTGGTAAAACCCCATGCACCTTAACTATAGTTCAGGTTTTTTTTTTTATCCAACGGCAAAATGGTCCGTATTGGTACTATACGCATCTTGATGGGGATTACAATTTTATCGAGGCCATGCCCAAGATGTCCGAGGCAGTGGGGGAGTTCAGGCATATACTCTGATCGTCGTGACAGAGTTATTGGGCTTAATACCCAGAGACTTGAACCCTCAACCCCCAAATCATAATTGCCTGCTATAGGGCTGCCTCCATACATTTATTTCAGCATTTCAGGAACGGCCCACCCAAAAGTAATCAACCCTCTTTATCTGTGAATGTGTGCTCGTAGCACCGTTGCAACACAGACTACCTTTTCTTTTCCCTTCTGGTGAGCCCATTACTCTGCCCTGCTTTTGGCCCTCTACGGTAACTCATTTGTAATTTTGTATGTGTGGTTTTGTGACAAATTTGTGTACATGTTGTGTTTTTTTGTGTATGTAGGATGATGTCAATTCGGTAACCTTTGCCGACGAATCCTCGAAGGTTCTGTTTTCGGGGGGCGATGATGGTCTGTGCAAGGTGATAGACAAATCTCAAATCTCGAAAAGTGTTGCATGATTCACTTCTCACAATCCTGACCTTGCTCATATTGTAGCACCTGGGTAGTGCTGTATCTTGAACCATACAATCGCATAGTTGCATGTCATATGAAAATAATGTTTAAAAGACTTGATCTATATTCATACAGTGTTGCTGATGATCGGTAAGCCTCTGTCTTATAGGTGGTGATGTGCTCACGGGCCGACTTGTAGGCGCCCGGTAGGCACCTATGGGTCCTCCTCAAGGCTTTGGCGTCAAACCGGAGACCAGTCTTGGCCAATTAGCATGGCTGCAGGGAAGAGGCGCCTGTTGTTGGGCCCCTCCGTCTCCTCATCATGATTGTCATCATAATCATCTCGTCACCAGCAGAAGTGGCCTTCCTCTTCCTCTCCTCCTTTCCTCTCTCTTTTTCGTTTTCATTTTTCTTCTTTCCTCTTTCTTCGTTCCTCTTTCCTCTTCCTTCTTCCCTATTTCTTGTGTCTTCTTTCTTCTTCTTCCTCCTTCCTTCTGTTTTCCTCGTCTTCTTCCTCTTCCTCTTCTTCTTCTTCTTCTTCTTCTTCTTCTTCTTCTTCGTCGTCTTCTTTGTCTTCTTTGTCTTCTTCTTCTTCGTCGTCTTCTTTGTCTTCTTCTTTTTCTTCTTCTTCTTCTTCTTCGTCTTCGTCTTCGTCGCTGCGGCGGCCGCTGCTCCTGCTCCTGCTCCTTCCTTCTGCTTCTGCTTCTGCTCCTGCTCCTGCTTCTGCTTCTGCTCCTGCTCCTGCTGCTGCCGCTGCTTCTCCTGCTCCTTCTTCTTCTTCTTCTTCTTCTTCTTCTTCTTCTTCTTCTTCTTCGAGTCTTCATCGTCGTCTTCGTCTTCGTCGCTGCGGCGGCCGCTGCTCCTGCTCCGTCTCCTTCTTTCTGCTTCTGCTTCTGCTTCTGCTCCTGCTCCTGCTTCTGCTTCTGCTCCTGCTCCTGCTGCTGCTTCTGCTTCTCCTGCTCCTGCTTCTCCTGCTCCTGCTTCTGCTTTTGCTCCAGCTTCTGCTCCTGCTGCTTCTCCTGCTCCCCTGCTTCTGCTTCTGCTCCTGCTGCTTCTCCTGCTCCCCTGCTTCTGCTTCTGATCCTGCTTTTGCTTCTGATCCTGCTTCTCCTGCTTCTGCTTCTTCTTCTTCTTGGTGGTTTAATTCTGATTTCCAGCCTCGAAACAATTCTGAAAAATATCAGTGATGTAGATTAGGCCACGCTGCATCATGACGATATATATATTTTTTTAAATAAACAAAAACGGTTCAGGGCAACGTTGTTTGCACCAAAGTTGTGACCAAACCGAATGCATATTTTAATCAAAGTGATTGTAACCCAAGTGGGAGGGACGGTTGATGCGGTGCAGGTCCGGAGGGGACCATTTTTTTAATTTCGTTTATTGTTTCGCCCGGCTCATAAAAATAGGCTTGGTGGGACAGGTGGTTCAATGCCGACTTCCCGGACTGCACTGCCTGGCAAAGTAAAGCCCAATTTGGGTTTTTGAAAGAGGTCCCTTTTGTACGCTTACCATACAGTTGGAACGCGCGGCACGGAATACGGGCATACTCACATGAGGACTTTTTCCACAAAGCTCTGGTCGCGATTGCAGTCCGGCTGTAATTGCACTCAGATGCATTCTGGAAAGTGTCAGTGTGAGAATGCCCTAATAAATTAATAATTGCTCTTGTTCATCCAGCGGTGCATCGACCGTGCATGTAATGAGGTTTCTGAGATCCGCTAAATGGACCGCTCGTGTATGAAGTGCTGTGTCTGGCGGGTATGCAATGAATAACTGCAGTGTTTCCCATCGTGCGGGCTGTAGCCGCTGTACACACTACGAAGTAACAATTTTTTTACTACCTTGGACTGTGTGTGTGTGTGTGTTTGTTTTTTTTGCGCCGCAATTCATCGCAGGTATCTGGAACATTGCTTGTGCTCAGGATATGCTCAAGGGAGTGCTACCGTCTTCAACCGAATAGAACGCCCGGTCATTATAGCTGTGTATTTGGCACAACTTCAGTCCAGATGCAGCGATAATGACCGGGCGTTCTATTCGGGTGAAGACGGTAGGGGGTCACACAGAAGGTTGGGACCTTCGTGATGCTTTCTGACTTCATCCTTCCTGTATGGATGACACGCAGGTTTGGGACAGACGGTGTCTATCTTCGAAAAGCAGACCCCAGGGAGTGCTAGTGGGTCACACAGAAGGCTTGACTTTTGTAAATTCAAAGGGTGACGGTCGGTACCTCATCAGCAACTCCAAGGACCAGACACTGAAGCTCTGGGACATCCGCAAAATGGTCCCGTACGACAACTATCGAAGGTACCCCTAAGTGACTCTCAGCCAGCGACTTCCTTTTTCCACTTTTCTCTTTTTTAATTGTTTGTTTGTTTGTTTGTTTTGGCCCTTTCGGGGGGACAAGGTGAGAAGGTATGCCTAAGTGACTCAGCTGATCGACTTCCTTTTTCCGCTTTTTTTTTTTTTTTTTAATTGTCTGTTTGTTTGTTTTGGGGGGGGGGGACAAGGAGAGAGAGTTAGCCCCTAATGTTATTAAATATTTTATCAGGATTGAATTCTTGACCTGCTTCTTAGCTCTTTACTTCTGTTTACACTAGGCCCTAGGGCACTTTTTTTTTTTTTCAGAGTTTTTGGATTTCTTTTTTTTTTTTTGGGGGGGGGTGGGCCGAGCATAGACCAAGCACGAGCCAACCACAAGGATCGAACACGTGACATCCATATCAGGAGGCAATCACTCGCCTAGTTGATGAGGTGGACTGGGGCGATAATAATATTTTAAAATTTTATTTTTTATTTTAAATTTGGTGAAGAATTTCAATGTAACCCTGAGGTAAAAGTTGTTCAGTTTATTTTTTTGCATAATATAATTTTGTTTTGTTTATTTTTTTTTTTTTTTTTGGGGGGGGGGGGAACCTTCTTTGGTCCTTGCACGGCCAGACCGCCCGGGCAAACAAGGTGACCTGGGCGGCCTGGCTCTGGTGGCCTTCTTGGTCTTGACTCTCTCTCTCTCTGCCGCACAACTTCTTGGTTGATGTCCATCGACTATCACACCGTTCAATTGGGGGGCGAATACACTCCCACAACACACACATGCACACACTGCCACAAAACACACACCCCACCCACCCACCCACCCACCCACCCAACACTGGACACAACTCGGCCCTCGGCACGTCTAGGCGATACTATGTGGGCAGGGTGGCACAGTGGATCAAATGGTACAATGTTACTACGAATACACACAGTAGGGGCCATGCTAATCTTCTCTCCTCTTCTGTCTCATCCGTGCGTAGGGGCCATGCTAATTAATCTTCTCTTCTCTGTATCGTACTATCGTTCCAATTTTAACGTCATGTTTCGAAGGACTGGCAACACAAGGTTTAGGTAAGGGAAGGCTTATGTTTCTCTTATCAGTGAAGTGGCATGCTGTGATGAGCTTAATAACATTTTGCACCGTTGCCCCGGATGGATGTACATACTACGTACATGGGACTGCGTTGGATGGATGCAGGCTTCCTGCTGCACGATTGCCTCAGTTCCGCTGGGATTATCGTTGGGTGGAGTATCCAGGCAAGAACAAGGAGATATCGCATCCACACGACTGCTCGATCATGACGTACCGCGGCCACACAGTTCTTCGCACTCTGATCCGATGCTATTTCTCTCCAATGTTCCTGTAAGTTGCCTTCATTGGATCTCTCTCTTATCATCTCATGCCATTTATGATTTTTCCTGTCCAAAGTCGCATTGGATATCTCTCATCTTATGCCATTTTTGAATTGAATTTTTCCTTTCCAAAGTCCCAGGACAAACAACGGGATTCGAACCCGTGACTTCTGGGGTTGTAATTTTTCATTACTTTTGCCTTCATGCCAGTTCATGGAGTTCGCAGAGTTCATACTTGGAAGTAGTTGAATGTTTGCCAACAACTTTCGCCATGTGTTTTTTTGGAAAGGGAAAGGCAGTCTTGTTTCTTTCTTTCTTTCTTTTTTTTGGGGGGGGAGGAGGGGGGCCGCTCACTCCCAGAAAATTTCTCATTTATAGATTGCAGAAGAAGAGAAGCTCGAGGACAGGGACCTCACACGTCGCACACGCCTTAACGCACTCAGTATCCATAACACACTCCAGCAAAACCTAGGGTTTTGTTTCTGCTCTTGTCACCACGGTTTTTGTTTTTGTTTTTGTTTTTGTTTTTGTTTTTGTTTTTGGCCTTTTTCGAAGTTTTCCCTTCGAAGGAGGTAGCGCTAGCGTCGTCACCCGAATAGAACGCCGGGTCAGTATCGCTGCATCTGGACCGAAAGTTGTGCCGAATACAGCTATAATGACCGGGCGTTCTATTCGGGTGAAGACATTAGCGTGCTATAATTGTGCCCATCATGGTTTGGAGTTTGAACCATGGTCTGGTTGGCAACACCAATGTGCACGTACCGTGCAGCAGCCCCAAAGGGGCTGGGTGTGCCTGCAAGATTCTCTGCTCTACTTTTTTTCTCTGCGACTAGAGCTTTTTCAGCAAAGAGGAAGGTGGTGGGAGTTTGAGCTCTTCGTTGACAAGGAAACAGTGTGTAGAAACTCTATGATTTGTTCATTCAGTGTGTTGACACTTAGTTGTGATTTTGTTCATCTTGTCAGAAGTAATTATGTTTTTTGTACAAGCTTGTTTTGGGGCTTTCTTGCATTGCAAGTCTGGTGCCTACAGTCTTCCCCTGAATACAACATACGGTCACTATAGCTGAATTTGGGGTATCTTTCAGTCTAAATACAGCTGTAATGACCGTACGTTGTATTCGGGCGAAGACGGTAGTACCTTAAAAAGTGGAGCTGTCTGGCCTCCAAAAGGTATTGATGTGTTAGATGAACTTGGATCGTTTGGGAATCCCCTCTCTTTTCTTTTCTTTTCTTTTCTATTTTGAAGTTCCCCTCCCTACCCCCCCCCCCCCCCCACACACACAACTGCCCCTTCTATTCTGGAGGGCGTCAGTCCAGTTGCAGTTGCTTATCACCGGCGAGCATGGTTTGAGACAAGGGAAAGAGATAAGATCAGGGGTCAAGAACGGCCTCACCCTTGCGGCCCTCGAGACCTGCCCAAGGGGAATCCCCCTTTCTAAATATTCTTATACTCTATACTTTCATCTGGAGTTGCTGTAACTTGGGCTCGTCATGCCTAGGCTCACATCCTTAAGACGTACTGCGTGACGAGTGATCCTGTGAAGTCCAAGTCAAAAGTTTGAGCCCTTGTATATTCATACGAGGAAACCGTGTGTTGAAGGTTGAAACTTGAAGAATGGGTCTGCGAAGTCCCAAGTCAAAAGTCTGATCACTTGGGACAACCTTTGGTACCGCTAGCATGGAAGTATGTTCACATGCTTTGCCGTCTGAAACTGCCAGTACACGGCGCCAGCCTTGCAGAAAGTGTTTGTCGCCACAAGCAAAACTCGGAGGGGCCGTGCGGCGTGGAGCGCCATTGAAAGGAATAATCTGCGGCCTCTGGAGTGTTGCGGGTTCCACGCTGACACCCACGGGCCTATGTATGCTGTACTGGTGCTTTGGTCACGGTCGTCCAGGGTGTCGATGTAGCTTGATTTGCCTGCTCCATTTGATGTCATTGTTCAGGTGGCTCCTCCCATCAGCAATCGCACCCTTGCCTGGCCCCATGGGTGGGCTTTGATTCTCCCTCGCGTGGCAGCATGGTCTATGGCTCCCATATGTACTTGAAGAGAAAATGGCAGTTGCGCGCTATTCGGCGGAGCATCATATAGACTGACCACTGCTGCAACCTTTTCTGGCAGATGTCAGATCACTATGGCTCTATTGTGCCATGGGGGGTGTCACCCTACCTTCTTCCCCCGAATACAACGTACAGTCATTTTAGTAGTATTTGAGGCATCTTTCAATCTAGAATCTAGATACAGCTATAATGACCGTATGCTGTATTCGGGGGAAGAAGGTAGTCGATCATTCACCGGGGAGCTGTGGGAGGAGTGAAATCACTGATGGAGTCGAATTCTCAAGGCCGGTAGATAACTCTGCTGGCGCGGAAGGATGACTATAACGAGCCCGTCATTTCTCAGGCACATCACCGTGCATGCGGACTTTGCAAGGCTGAGGGGCCATTCAGGAGAGGGGTCCACTTTGGCAAGATGAAGCCTGCCATATGACAAGAACGGAAGCTTTGTGTATATTGCACCTCGTCCACGTTGCTCGTACTTGCTCCTGTTTACGAATGTGGCGCCTCGCTGCTGGCAACAGGCCCACTCTATTGGTGCGATGGGACCGAGAGAATTGGTGGTCACAGAGGATCACCATCACCGACCGAATGTGTGACCCCGGGTCACTTCTGAAGCCCCTACTCCCATCATGCACGGAACATAGTATAACTCCGACGAAACAGTTTGTCACAGCCCCTCGTTTGTTGTCCTCTTCTCCCTCTCCCTCTTTGCCTACGGTTTACCGTTGGCAGTTCTGTTTGAACTTTGACGATATGTATTCAGCGATGTACTATTATGTAGCATTTCAGTCGCCAAAAAGTCGTTTCTAAGTTGCGCCGTTTCATGAAAATCGAACGGCGCTTCGTACGGTAGGTGTGTGGGTTATACTGGAATAGAATGAAATTTCTCTGGCGCTTAAACTGCCAGTGCATCCGAGCTATTTTTTGCACGACGTGGATTGGCCCCCCCGCCAGGATGGCGCTTTTTCTTCTCTTTTGGCTGGCAACGCAAGCCTCCGAACTTTTCAGAATGAGTTGATTCTGACTCTCAAGTTTGCCTGGGCTACTATGTACCTGTGGTTCATCTACAGACGTATGGGCTGTAGTAAGTTCGGATTGTCTGCTGTCGATTTGGGGATTTCCAATAGCAACCCTCCTCCTCTCTAACCGTGGAGTTCTTCTCACGTCCAATCGGGGTGTAGCAGATTCTCAATCTCAAGGACTCCTTTTCGACAAATTGTCCATACAGGTGCTGTGATGGTGTGTGTGTGATCATGTGTGATCCTCATAAAACCCATGTGATTGCACAGAAGGAGCTGTTCAGTGGCAGGATACCCCCACAGCTTCCCTGGATGCATGTGACTCCAGGTACGACCAGATTTGGTCATCAAGTGCTTGGCGTGCGAAGTAGGCGCTGTCCCCAAGGACTTGTGTGCGTAGTGGGAAAGGTGTTGAACCACTTGTGCCTTCGCCGCATGGGAAAATAGCGGGCCTCGGGTGGGCCTCCGACCTTTTAGTAGGCAGAAACGAAACGACAGCCGCCGATCTTGTTGCTCTATGGCAGCCACCGTTGGACCCGGCCTCCGATTTTTCAGGAGTTTGCGAAAACTGCCAGCGGTTGGAATTCCCTATTTTCCCAACACTGCCGGAGGTACTAGTGGTTTTCACCACTAGCATCTCTGCTGAAACGGTTTTCACCCTTTGCGGTTGCAGATACGACCCAGGGCCCGATCCCTAGGCCTCACTCTCACCCGTGTACAGTCTCAGTTGACCCGTGTGAGCTTGAACCAGCGACCTGTGTCTTGAAAGGCGCCTATTGTTTTCTGTAGGTAGCGTGGTCGTTGGGTCTTGAGCAGTAGGTCTGTGGATTAGCAGTTTTAGCAGTGGTAGGAGTCGTAGCTGCTACAATTCCGAAGAGTCAAGGTCGTAGCTCCTACAGTCCTGAAAGGTCATGTCTACGGCCTTCCGGAAGATCCGGAAGTGGACTTTAGTACAGTCCTAGGACACAGACCGTAGGCAAGTGGGCAAGTGGGTAGTCTAACCAAGCCCAGTCAGCGGTACACAGTTGCGGTCGCACCTTGTCAAGTCAGCAAGTACCATGTGGGACTGTGTGCATCTCGGGCCCGGCGTCCAAGGGCAGACCTTTGACAATTCGAAGTAGAAATCAAGAGGCAGCGCAAGGCATTCATTCATTGTGCCTGTGAGCCGTGCGGAAGCGCTGTCGGAGTGTCTTGTGTACAGAGGTCGGCAGGTTCCCGTGGAGAAGAGGGCTAAGATGAGGAAGTCGGGCATAGCCGAGCTTGTTAGTAGGGAGGAGGAAGACGGCAGCCATAGCCGCCACGTTAGAGAGGGAGTAGGTGTTAGTATGTGTAGGAGTGAGTGTTAGTGTGTGTATATGAGTGTCTTGTGTACGTGTGTGCGGGACATCCAGGAAGATCCAGGGTGTCTGTACGAACGAGTTGCTGGGAGTGCAGCGTTCGTCTGTAGCCGAACGAGACAAGTTTGAATCTGAGCTGTGTTCGTGGCTTCGTTATCTCTGAGCTTTGTGTGGGCGCGAGTCGCCAGCTTGATCATCATCTGTTCGTATGCATGCTGAATGTCGAAGTCGACAAGTCTGATTGCACCGCAAGTGTTGGGAAAATGGGGAAAAGTGGACGGTTTCCCAAACTCCTAAAAATTCGGAGGCCGGGCCCAACGACAACTGCCATTGATAAATCTGATCGGTGGTCGTCGTTTCGTTCCGAAAAGGTCGGAGGCCCACCCGAGGCCCGCTACTTTCCCACGCGGCAAAGGTACTCGTGGTTTAAGGAGTTGCGCTGACCAGTCACCTGGAGGCTGGCTGCGGCATAGAAAGTCTGATCCTGCCACCTGCACTGCCTTCAGGAAAAAAAAAAAAAAAAAAAAAGCACAGAATAGGCACTGAGTTTGTTTAACTGTGTTATACATGGGAGATGATTCTGAACCATACTTGCAGCGCACTTCCGCTGTGCACCGTGCGCCATGCACAAATTAGTGATGCGGCGATGCGCTCAAAGCCTCAATTTTTTTTTTTTTTTTTTTTTTTTTTTTTTTTTTTTGGGTTGTG